TGAGTCAATCTCAAACAGTGCAGGTTGATGATTTAGACATTGCTAAATATTCTAAAGGAATTCAAGGTCAAAGTATGAAAGTTGCTGGATTGTTTCTCAAACAACCATGCTTTTCTCAGATGCAGGATGTTCAAGGGTGGGATCACCTCAAAATCTTTATTTGTTGGTAGATGGAAAGCAAACTGCAAATGTTGTTTATGAAGAAGCTTTGTTATAATTTTAAAATTTCGAGATAAAGTTAATGTTCAAGTTATTACTTTGAAACATATGATTGCTGTTAAACTTACATTGTTCTAATCAAGTTTCAACATCCCCCGTCAGTTGACGGGTATTTCAGCTTTTATATATATATATGTGTGATTGTATTATTTGAAACCTATTCGTAGAAAGCAAACACAAATAGTACGTATACTATTTTTTAGCTTTATTTACTTCTAATTACAATGTTGGATTTTTTGTTGTTGTTTTCGTCTTCAGAAGTTAAGACTTCAGCCAGACCACTCTGTTAATGCTCCGAACTAATTGGTTCACCTGAGTCTACGTATAATAAAACTGCTTAGATTTCTAATCACTTTCAAATAAACTGAAGTTTTTTGTTTCTTTTTAATAGAACTACTGTCAAGAGTTTTGATATGATTTTTTATGACTTAACTTAAAACATAAACACACGCTTGTATTGAATGAAAACAGGGTTCTCGGATAGAAAGTAATCTATCAAGGTTTGACACACGTTCGATCCATTTGTGGGAATACTTCGTCAGACAGAGCTAATGAGATTGTTCTATATCAACGGTATGTTTTGAATGCAACGAGGCTTCCCATGACCTTCGAGACTTTACACTAGTATATACTTTCCATAGATAACGTATTCCTTTTGTAAACTTTCTATATTCGATCGAACGAATATATATGTTAACGTTTTAAAATAAAGTGTTTTTTGTTTCTCGTTGTTCTTTCTCTATTTCAAAGAATCATAAGCTAAACTCTGGTCTTAAAAGTTAAAAAAAAGCTTGAAACACTGTGAAGTTTTAGAGAAACTGAAGGCAAAACGAAAAGCATGATCTCTATAACAACCGTAATTTTTAATTTCACACTGTGACCATGTTTGAAAGAACTTCGAATAAAACCAATGAATTAATGTGAAATTTGACCTCCTGAGTCCAAAACTGTAATTAGATCTCAAATTCGTCAAGAGATGACGGAGCTATGGGCTAAAAGTTTGTATTTGAAAAAAACAACAAAAAACAAACAACTCAGAGCCGTTGTTCTATGAGCCGCTATGCCGCGGCTAAAAAGTATAGGAATAAGTAATTACCCACCTATGTTCTATAAATTATCTGTCATAATTTAGTCGTATATTTTTCAGTTTACTATAACCAAAAAAACTCACATTTTTATAGATATTTTCCTAATAGTATCTTTCTTTGATTTATGCATGTACGTGTTCTAACAAGATTACTTTTAAAACAATAGTCTTATTAAAATTATCCATATTGAATTTTATCTTTACTATAAGCCATCATTCTCCATCTATCCACATAGCTAAACATGCATATTACAGGATAATGTTTACACCTTTTACTCTCTTTATTAGAATCCGGGTTTCGATACCCGTGGTGGGCAGAGCACAGATAGCCCATTGTGTTGCTTTGTGCTTAATTACAAACAAACAAACAAACTCTCTTTTTTTTTGCCTCTAAATAGCACAGTGGTATGTCTGCGCATTTACAACGCAATGAAAAAAAAAACGGGTTTCGATACCCGTGGGAGGCAGAGCACAGATTGCACAATGTGTAGCTTTGTGCTTAACTTCAAACAAAGTTTCTTTTCATGATATATATTTGTTCTTCATTTGCAAGAAATGGCCCGGCTCTTTACCTGTTCTTTATACCCGTTTTCACAAGATAATGAATTTTATTTTATCTATTTAAAACTTTAGAAAGCAACATTCGTGTGCGGTCGTATTGGCTTAATGTTTTTTTTTTAAATAAAGGTTTTAATCA